GGGGGGGTCACTTCGATCTATCAATTTAAAGTATTCCAATTACAGTGGTGACTATTTTACCTTATTTATTTTACTTTCCTTGTATATTATGTGTTCAATTTTGATCTCCCAAATAATTGTGTAACTTTGACTAACATTTTTACAGAGCTATAAGACACTTGAACTTGTAAGTTATGTATGCTAATCCAAAGAAACTATAAATTTTGCAAATCAAAACCCCAAAACACACTGCACGAAACCTTTTATAGCTCACTGATTCTAGGATGCATATTTTTTCCCCCAATAATCTCTGAAGTTGTGAGATACTCTGCAATCAACAGCTTCTTACTATTATAATTGGCAGTGGATTCCCCCCCTTGGTGGCACATAAAAGTACCATCTTAAGAGATGATGAAATGCAGTTAGAGAAGAGACCAAATCTTAGAAACAAATTAGCCAAAAATTTGGGAGGGTAAAGTAGATGTCTCAGGGCAATCCTAACCATCTTCCTATTCAAAAGTCATACTCCCTATGTACTCCCAGATTTCTAAGAGCACTTCAAATTTCTCTCGGTTATCTGAAAAAAGGAAGAAATCAGGGCAACCTGTTACATAGGGCATCTAGATTGCTATCACAACATCCACGAGGGATTCCAGTATTTGGATACATGAGCCTAGATCTAAGTATCTCAATGGATTACAAAGATATTATAAATTGGCATACTTAGGTGCAAAGCACTTTCACATCATTTTATTTAATCCTTCTGATATACCAAGAATTAGAAAGAGAAGTTATTATCGCTACTGTACAAGGAGATTAAATAATTTACACAAGATCACAGTGCCCAGGTTTTACAAGACTGGAGGGAGTGAAAAACATCAGAGAAGGACTGAAACCAAAGTCTACTAACTCAAAGGCCAGTACTTTTCCCAATTTACCACATGAAATTTTTGGATCAAAAATTTCCTGGGAAAAAATTTCAGCATGTAATAATTTTAGACCAGGTAAAACCAGACAACAAGTATCAACCATACTATTACTGTTTAGAAAATATTGCAAGGCATTACGTACACATACAGTATCCTAACCTTATGTGTATAACTCAATGAATTGTTAACTATGTATACACCCAAGTAACTACCATTCAGATCAGCATACAGAATGCTTTCTGCAACCCTGAAGGTGCCCTTGTGCCCTAATGTATAATAGAAATGCCCAAGGTTACTATTCTTATTTCTTTCACCATAGATTAATTTCATCTGTTTTTGAATTTTAGATAAATAGAAACATATACTGTATACTCTTTTGCTCATTATTTTATCTCAGAGAGCCATTCATGTAATTGTGTTTTGTTTAGCAATCATTTCGAATACAGGTTGAGTAGCCCTCATCTGAAATCCAAAATCCAAAACTTTCTGAGTGCTTATATGATGCTCGAAGGAAATGCACACTGGAGCATTTCAGATTTTAGATTTTCAGATTAGGGATGCTTAATTGGTTAAATATAATGCAAATATTCCAAAATCTGAAAAAATCTGTAATCCAAAACATTCTGGTCCCAACCATTTTGGATAAGGAATATTCAATCTGTATTCCATTGTATGAAGATACAATTACATATCTACCTATTCTATTTGGGTCATTTCCAGTTTGGGGCTATTACAAATGCTATGAATATCCATGCACATTTCTCTTGGGTATTTATATAACATAAGAGTAGAATTGCTGGGTCAGTTTTATTTAGTGGATACCATCAGTTTCCCAAAGTGGTTATATACCAATTTATAATCCCACTAACACTTACTGTTCTACATCTTTGCCAATACTGTATATTACCAGTATTTCAAATTTTAATGTATAGTGGTATTCACTGAAATTTTAATTTGCAATTCCCTGATGACTAAGGTTGTTGAGTACATTTTCATATGCTTAATAGGCCAGTTAGATACCCTTTTTTGGACAAGTTCATTTTAAGTCTTTTCCTCCTGCCTCAGCCTCCCAGTAGCTGAGACTACAGGTGCCTGCAGCTCATCCAGTTAAGGTTAAGGATTTTATCCACAAAGACAGCCAATTGATTTAGCACCATTTATCATAAGGATCATCCTTTCCCCCACTAAACTACGGTGGCAGCTCTGTAGAAAAATTAGGTGACCATAAAGGAATGGGTATGTTTCTGGACATTACCCTATTTTTGCATCAATACCACAGTTTTAATTACTGTAGCTTTTTACAAAGTCTCAGTATCTGGAGCCTAGCACAGTGGTTCATGCCTATAATCCCAGCAGGATCCTAGGGAGGCTGAGGCAGGAGGACCACTTGAGCAGGGGTTCAAGACCAGTCTGGGAAACATAGTAATACCCCGTTTCTCCAAAAAAAATTTTTAAAAATTAGCCAGGTGTGGTGGCATGCACCTGTAGTCCCAGCTACTCGGGAAGCTGAGGTGGGAGGATCGCTTGAGCCCAAATTTGAAGGTGCAGTGTGCTATGACTGTGCCACTGCACTCTAAGCCTGAGTGGCAAAGCAAGACCCTGTCTCTGGGAGAAAAAAATAGTAAAATAAAATTTCCTTGGTTAATCTAGGTCCTTTTGCACTTTCAAATACATTTTTAAATTGGCTTGTGTCTATCCCTCTACCCCCAAATTTGTGGGGATTTTAACTGGGGATAAGTCTACAGAGAACTGACATCTTAATTTTAAGTCTTCCAATCCATGACTGTATCTCTCCTTTTATGTTGTTATTTATTTCTCGGCAATATTTTATAGTTTTTAGTATGGCAGCCTTTCACATTTTTCATTAAATTGATTTTGGCTCACATATCTATGATTTCATTTCTTTCAAATTTACTGAGATTTGCTTTATGGTATGGCATATGGTACATTTTAGTAAATGTTTCATAAATACTTGAAAAGAGTATATATCCTGCAGTTGTTGAGTGAAGTGTTTCATGTGTGTCAATTAGGTCAAGTTGGCTGTGTTGTTCAAATCTTCTATAACCTGGCTGATTTTTTCTTGTTTTGTTCTACTAGCTGAGAGGTGCATTAATCTGGTTGCAGTTTTGTCTATTTTAACCTTTTAGTTTTGTCAACTTTTCCTTTTTA